AAAAAAAAAGATTTTGTCACTCCCAATGTTCAAGACATGGTTACGGCCTTATTGAAAACACGACTACTAGAAGGCTACAGGCAGGTGAGTCATATCAGGGTTGGATCAAATCTCTGCAGGAAAGTGGCCTGGAAGGGCCAAGTTTGCCCATCACTGCACTAATGCATGACATTACCAAATGTATACAGCAATGTGTCTTGGCTGATCACTTGTGATTGGATCAACTGGTATGGAGCTTACAACCTCTGTAATCGGTTGTATATTATAAATACATTTTACAAATTTTTTTTTTAATTCTAGGCTAAAATCTGTATTCTTTGATCGCTGGTTTGACATGCCGATTAATGGCCATTGCGATCAAATTCTACCTCTGACGAAATTCTGGCAGTTTCAGAAGATTTGCCGCACAGTCTTGCAGTGTGATGTCTCCTACGGCGAACGTCAAACTGTTTTCGTTTTTCAGAATTAATGCTAGAGATTTCTTCGAGCCATCATAAACTCTGGCATTCCCATTCTCCGCTCATGGAATTCATACGATGTTGCATATGTTGCTATGATAAACTCCGGTTGTGCCGCTGTTTGCATGTGGTTGTGTAGTGCTGCTTACAGGTGGGCAAACTTGGCCCTTCCAGGCCACTTTCCTTCAGAGGTTAGCTCCAACTCTAATCAAACACACCTGAACCAGCTAATCATTGTTTTCAAGACTACTAGAAGGCTACAGGCAGGTGAGTCATATCAGGGTTGGATCAAATCTCTGCAGGAAAGTGGCCTGGAAGGGCCAAGTTTGCCCATCACTGCACTAATGCATGACATTACCAAATGTATACAGCAATGTGTCTTGGCTGATCACTTGTGATTGGATCAACTGGTATGGAGCTTACAACCTCTGTAATCGGTTGTATATTATAAATACATTTTACAAAATTTTTATTTAATTCTAGGCTAAAATCTGTAGTCTTTGATCGCTGGTTTGACATGCCGATTAATGGCCATTGCGATCAAATTCTACCTCTGACGAAATTCTGGCAGTGTCAGAAGATTTGCCGCACAGTCTTGCAGTGTGATGTCTCCTACGGCGAACGTCAAACTGTTTTCGTTTTTCAGAATTAATGCTAGAGATTTCTTCTAACCATCATAAACTCTGGCATTCCCATTCTCCGCTCATGGAATTCATACGATGTTGCATATGTTGCTATGATAAACTCCGGTTGTGCCGCTGTTTGCATGTGGTTGTGTAGTGCTGCTTACACTATTCTTCTTAAATACGCCGGTATTTACGCCATCCATATACTTTTCATGATAGCCAACATTTCAGCCCCACGTGTAATGCAGCTCACAGTCACTGAACGGGTGCATGAATTGATCATGTAAAACCCCGGACAAGTTTTCTTGCACACAGTTTGTGTTTCTTGCGCACAGTCTGTAAATATGATATTTATTTAAAACAGCATTGGTGACCAAAAATGTGATACTGCATCCACAGCAATAGGTGTCAGTATAAAGCGCAACAGCACTATTGCACCAATCAGCAAATCATGAAGAAAAAATACTAACAATTAAATGTATCTGCTAAATAGAAACAACAAAAAAATTGCGCTACCTCTATTTTTATCATGTCTTGAGAACTGAAAATGATACTGCACACAAAACTCAGGCTTACAAAGTAATGAATATGGTTAAAATACTATAAAGCAGTGAACACTGAGATGATAAAGGTGCCCCTCATGATCACAAACAAACTGCGGCTGGAGCGTAAAAAAGGCCATGAACTTAACTGTGGGAGTGTTAGTAAACAAAGGCACTGTGAGATTGTTCTCTGAGCAATCAGTGTTGAGCTCTCCCAACAAGTCTGCCATGATGCCTAGAGACAGGTGACACAGCTGCTGGTGACGGACAGCACTGGCCTGAGCTCTGATTGGTCAGCAGTCCCATCCAGGAGGGGAGGGCTCAGAGTATCACTGCAGCAAACACTAGCTTGCATCTACATGCCTAATACAACAAACTGTTTGTTTAGTTAGATGCATTGAAATTATGTATGTGTTACACCTCACAGCCCCAAAGAGAGAAAAACAAACAATATTCAATATCCAAATGAGAATAAATGGAGATTACAGCTTTAACCTTCTCAGATTTTTGTAATTTCTGTGTATTTTACTAGAGTTTCAGAAGAGATCTCCAGATAAAAAAAGTCTGCAAAAATATTTCTCATCAATTTCTCTCAAGATCACATGATTATACTGTATAGCTGTCATGAGAAACAATTGCGCGCTCTCTCCATTCTCCCCTCCTAAACTGATCAATACTTCATTTAAATCAATCAAACACACCTGAACCAGCTAATCATTGTTTTCAAGACTACTAGAAGGCTACAGGCAGGTGAGTCATATCAGGGTTGGATCAAATCTCTGCAGGAAAGTGGCCTGGAAGGGCCAAGTTTGCCCATCACTGCACTAATGCATGACATTACCAAATGTATACAGCAATGTGTCTTGGCTGATCACTTGTGATTGGATCAACTGGTATGGAGCTTACAACCTCTGTAATCGGTTGTATATTATAAATACATTTTACAAAATTTTTATTTAATTCTAGGCTAAAATCTGTAGTCTTTGATCGCTGGTTTGACATGCCGATTAATGGCCATTGCGATCAAATTCTACCTCTGACGAAATTCTGGCAGTGTCAGAAGATTTGCCGCACAGTCTTGCAGTGTGATGTCTCCTACGGCGAACGTCAAACTGTTTTCGTTTTTCAGAATTAATGCTAGAGATTTCTTCTAACCATCATAAACTCTGGCATTCCCATTCTCCGCTCATGGAATTCATACGATGTTGCATATGTTGCTATGATAAACTCCGGTTGTGCCGCTGTTTGCATGTGGTTGTGTAGTGCTGCTTACACTATTCTTTTTAAATACGCCGGTATTTTTCTGTGTATTTTACTAGAGTTTCAGAAGAGATCTCCAGATAAAAAAAGTCTGCAAAAATATTTCTCATCAATTTCTCTCAAGATCACATGATTATACTGTATAGCTGTCATGAGAAACAATTGCGCGCTCTCTCCATTCTCCCCTCCTAAACTGATCAATACTTCATTTAAATCATGACATTAGCACACTACAACTGGATAGCTGTCCTGAGAAACATCTCAGACGGTTGATACATTAAAAAAAAAAACATAACTTAGATCATAAAGTCTCCTGAGCTTTGTTTGAAAGAGCTAATTTAGTAGGGTTTTGTGACATGTTTTAAGTATCTTTTTGCATTTTTCCTTCAAGAGTAAATGTCTTCTTTGGGTGGTCAGCAGTCCCATCCAGGAGGGGAGGGCTCAGAGTATCACTGCAGCAAACACTAGCTTGCATCTACGTGCCTAATACAACAAACTGTTTGTTTAGTTAGATGCATTGAAATTATGTATGTGTTACACCTCACAGCCCCAAAGAGAGAAAAACAAACAATATTCAATATCCAAATGAGAATAAATGGAGATTACAGCTTTAACCTTCTCAGATTTTTGTAATTTCTGTGTATTTTACTAGAGTTTCAGAAGAGATCTCCAGATAAAAAAAGTCTGCAAAAATATTTCTCATCAATTTCTCTCAAGATCACATGATTATACTGTATAGCTGTCATGAGAAACAATTGCGCGCTCTCTCCATTCTCCCCTCCTAAACTGATCAATACTTCATTTAAATCATGGCATTTTTCCTTCAAGAGTAAATGTCTTCTTTGGGATCATGTTCCCTGGCATCTGGCAGGAAAATTCTGGGACCCTCCTCACCTCAACAGGGGAGGGGGAAACACCTGTCTCAAAGTAAACTCTCTAACTTCAGTTGAGCTGGAAGAGTTCAGACAGGCACAGCCAGCTGCTCAACACATGCACTGCACTCTCTAAAACAAACCTGGAATATAACAAGGTTAGCAGAGTCACCTTAACAAATAAGGAGCTTATTTGGTCCCCACCAAAAAACAACATATTTCAGACTCCCAACAAACTGTATATTAAGTATTTCAGTGAGCCAAAACATCCATTCACATGTCAAAGTTGCAACTGGAGCTCACAAGCCGCTGTCATTACAGCAAGCTCCATGTAGAAAAACAACAGAAGCTTCAAACTACATAAAGTATTTTGGATTTAGATCATGTTTCTCTCTCTCTCTCTCTCTCAAAGCCTTTTCAAAAATCTCTCTCCATTCTCCCCTCCTAAACTGATCAATACTTCATTTAAATCATGGCATTTTTCCTTCAAGAGTAAATGTCTTCTTTGGGATCATGTTCCCTGGCATCTGGCAGGAAAATTCTGGGACCCTCCTCACCTCAACAGGGGAGGGGGAAACACCTGTCTCAAAGTAAACTCTCTAACTTCAGTTGAGCTGGAAGAGTTCAGACAGGCACAGCCAGCTGCTCAACACATGCACTGCACTCTCTAAAACAAACCTGGAATATAACAAGGTTAGCAGAGTCACCTTAACAAATAAGGAGCTTATTTGGTCCCCACCAAAAAACAACATATTTCAGACTCCCAACAAACTGTATATTAAGTATTTCAGTGAGCCAAAACATCCATTCACATGTCAAAGTTGCAACTGGAGCTCACAAGCCGCTGTCATTACAGCAAGCTCCATGTAGAAAAACAACAGAAGCTTCAAACTACATAAAGTATTTTGGATTGAGATCATGTGTCTCTCTCTCTCTCTCTCTCTCTCTCTCTCTCTCTCAAAGCCTTTTCAAAAATCATTCCTGACTAACATTTCCTCTTGTTAAACTTGGTGTGTTACAGCACAAGCCAATTCTTTATAATTACAGCTATTATTCTTCTTATATGAAATGATCCTTCTTAGAAGAAGAGAAAAATACATAAATTACTGCAAATGTAGTGGTCTGAGATTAAAGCATGTCACAAAGAAGAGCCCAGAACAAAAGCATTGGCATTGAGAAAGCAAGAAAGAGAGAGAGAGTGTGTGGGCCCGAGCAGCCTGGGCCTGGCCGTGAAGCTTTTACCTGAGCCTGTAGCTCCAGATCTTGCTTCCTGGCATCTTGTAGCTGCCTGTGCAGCTGCTGTTTGCGGTCGTGTCCCCTCTGGAGCTCCTGCTGGCTTTCTTGCAGCTGTCTCTGCAGATCCCACAGTCTCTGCTCTTGGACGTCCAGCTATCCAACCACAATAGAGGGCAGGGCGCAAAGGAAGAGAAAATCAATCCACTACAAAGAGCCTGTTTCTCCGCTTGCCTGCTCGATTCGCAGAACCCCTTATGACTAGAGCTCCGGCAAAGAGGAACCGATGTTCATCTGGCCCTCATCGCAGCCCCAACATCCACCCCGAGCGGTTCCAGAACCCTTCACATATACCCTGACACTCCAGACAGGCTAGGGCTGCCCTGCACTGAATGCAGAAGCAAAAATCAATGCTTCTTAACAAAATGCGAAATCGCAGCTCATTGTTCGACAGGAAGAGCGGGAGAACAAGCAATACTTCTACAGACGGATCTTTACGATTTTCGGTTACATGCACAAGCAGTTTGCAGCATGTCACTCCATTATCCGCTTTTTAAGCAAAAAAGTATTCATTAATGTTGTTATTTTTTCAAATAATTAAAGCAAGGCCCACCACGACACATCGAAAATAAATAATTATTATTGTAATTAGCACAATATGGTCACCTGCTAAAGAGAACGGAGAGGAGGGGAAGATGGGAGTCGAGAAAAAGAGAGAGGAGGAGGAGGTTTGGCAGACTCCTGGTTCCGGTCCAGTCTGACATTATCAAGCATCCTCTTCTGCATTTCAAATGGTCGCACAATGACAGTCGCATATCCAAAATGGAGGCCCGGGGACGATCAATTAATCAGCCTCGCTCATTAGAGGCCCGCGAGTAATCCACAAATTCGCCTAAGTCACCTAAATCAAACAGTCGCCCCTCGCCTTACCCATTGATTGTGGTCTGGTGACAAGCACTTCAAGCCTTGCCTCGTCTTCCCATCCGTCTGTTGGCATAGCGAACACTACAATTCCTGCCAGATTGTGGACTAAAACGATGAGGGAAGAATGAGAATCGTTTCCCTTTAATCCTAAAAACCCAGCTCATCCTTTTGCTCTGCTTTTCAGTGTGTGATGCAAGCCGATAACCCTGCTCTTTCTTTGCCTTACAATTGCACTCTCTCTCCATTCTCCCCTCCTAAACTGATCAATACTTCATTTAAATCATGACATTAGCACACTACAACTGGAAAAAAAGCCGAAAGGAATAGCAAAACGCTTCTTATGGCAAATGGAGGGTTGGAAAATAGATCATGCATCCGATTAATGACCATAATTGTTTGTTTATACGTAAAAACTAAGGTTAAAATGCATGTGGCGCTCAGGACCAACATCATTGTTTTGATTTGAGCTCCCGAGACTGACTGATCAATATCGCATTTGAATCCTGAGAGCGGGGCAGTGTCGCTTTAGCACTCGACGTTAAATGAAATGCAAATAGCGCTGCCGTAATCAACACGTATTTCTGACATTATTGTCAAACCCAAATGATATTTCCATACACAAAGAACGTGTAGCCATACGCATTGGCGGTTGCGTGATATGCGCCCTCATGCATTTGTTTATTCATGCAGTATGCCATGAGAATAATCACTGCACACTTAAGACTTGAAGGGATGGTAATCATCGATGCAGGGGGGGAGTGGGAGGAGAGAAGAAGAAGAAGAAGAAAAAAAAAAAGGTAATTTCCTGTCGCGGATCTGCATAACAGGCGTGCAAGAGAGCGAGAGCGAGTCTTATCTGCCTAATGGTCATTAGCGGAGCTTATTTACCTGAACGCTCTGGGCGTCACGGGCCTGATGAGAGAGGAGCAGGTCTTGCCGGAGTCTTTGGATGCTCGCGTCCCGACGTGACAACTGCGGTTCGGGTTTCCCATCCCAAACGTGGCGAAGAGGAAGGAACGGAGGGCGTGAGGTGTTTTTGAGAGTAATGAGAGGGAGGTGGAGAGAGAGAGGGAAGGGAAGAGTGAATCACTCCAGGAACATGCACTTACATATAGCCGAGTGCCAATGTCAACCAATGAGCAATTAGGCAGACAAGACCAAAGTTATTGATCGGGGTTTGGGGCTCTTTTTCCCAGGCTAACTAAGCTGAGTATATGTGATGGCTGCAGAAGCGGTGGGGAAAGCGAGAAGGAGGGGGAGAGTTCGGAAGAGCGACTCCCTCTTGCTCTCGCTGGGCCTGTAGTGCCGAAGAGGAGCCGGTCATTTAACCTTCTATTGATCTTCCTCCTAAATAACCCCCCTCCCTTGACAGATGTGCGTGTTCAATGTATGCACTTAATGTAGACTGCTCAACTGTCAATACATTACACAGTCAGATTTGTCTGCAAGACTGCTACAGATAGGCTACCATGTTTTGCACAAGAGATCAGGGTTCTTGGTAAGATACAGAGCTGTGTGCCAATCATGCATTGCCAACCAGATTGCAGACTTTAGCATTGCTTTATGGACTTGTTTAACACTTGGTTTGAGGGTAGGCACCATATTTCCTTAGAGATAAATTACAACAAGGCTGTAAGGGATAGAATTAGAGTCTTTCAATAGGCTGTAGTGTAGAGTCTTTAAGGGACAGTTAACCAAGAAATGGAAATTCTGTAATCATTTACTCACCCACACGTCGTTCAAAATGTGCATGTTTTGAACACAAAAGTAGATATTTTCAAGGCTGACTGAAAGTCAGTGGGGTCAAAAACGATGGACAAAAACGATGAGACATTTGGTGTTTCATAGAAGAAAAAAGGCATAGGGAACAACATGAGGACGAACTATCCCTGTAAGTTCAAATCTAATTTTCATGTCAGCTTTTTTTAGTACTGGAAATTAATTCGGAAGGCAGATTTTAAATGCTTCATTGGCTAAACGATAAACACCAAGAACAACAGCAATTGAACACACTGTACATCTGTCCCTTACAGACTTGTTCTCATCCATGTAAAATCAAGCAAGCCATCTACCCTCTAGGGTTGTGTGCCATTTAGAATTGAACTGAGAATGCCTTTTAAATTCCAACTTAATACATTAACACCCATCTCATGTGATTGGGTCGTGACATCAGAATAGACAGATCAACTAGTACTAAAACAAATCTCAAAAAGTGGCCACTTGTGATTGGATTTTGAGGAGGATTTTAGAAGTCTGTCATACATCTATATTGTTGATTAATGCATGGATAGCATAATTAGTGCACTGTTAATATAAGGTCTAAGGAGAGACTCAACAGCTCTGTTCCTCTGAGAGCAGTGAGATCAGTGAAAGCCTAAAGAGAAAGACAAGCATCTGATGAGACTATAAGCTCAATTTATAGTGTGTACTTAAAATACATTCCACAGCAACGCAGGGAAGATGAACCTCAGAGTAAATGAAACCTGTGAGACAGATGCCAGTAAGATGGTAGAATAAGCAACCAGACATACAGTATAGAAGGAAAAGACACCTGTAGGAAAGAGAAACTACTAATAGTGTCTCTGCAAATTAATGGAGAGTAAATTGAGACAATCATTAAACAATATAGGTCATAAGAAGGTAAGGTCATTTTGGGTTGTAAAATGCCATGTGGTACAACTCCCTAAAAATATAATAATATTTGAGAGTGACATATACTTTTGACCTTGACAATATAGTGTATTTAAAAACTTAAAAATTCAAGATGTGAGAAATATGTAGTACCTTTTACTTGAAGGTCACACCACATGAAAATTCTTTTGAAATGACAAAAATGCTTTTTTAAAACCATTTGAAACCACCATGAATTCAAAGAGTACATTTCTACAACTCGTTACATCTGTTTTTAACAATTTTTTATACATTTATTTTCTTTCTTGTGGAGATTCTTACAGTATATGTCATGGACGCAAACAATATACTGTATGCCATCAATGTTATCTCATCTTCTCATCAAATCTATTCATGACCAAATGATTGGAGCTCCTTTCATGTTTACAGCTCTATTTTATACTGTATAACATCAAAATCTTTCTTTTTTTCCCCTCCAAAGAAGTTTTAGGAGAAACATCACTGACAGAGTTGATTAAAATAAGCTAGCAAATACAGAGAGACGAAAGAGAAAGAACTCAATAAGACAGGGCAAAACATCTCTCCTCCCAGAGCGTGTGTAATTGAAGAACATGTCTTTCATGAGATCCGCTTTGTTGTGAAGGCAGAAAGTTAAAGAGTTCACAAGTGCTGGTGAGAGGAGCCGATGACGACACCTGATCCTTCCTTCCATGCTCGTATTGACCCTTTCCTCAATAATGTCTCTGGAGAACAGTTAGTTAACACTGATTGCCTACAAACCTGCTCACAATGACAAGCGTGGCCTCGGCCAACTCTACTTCAACACAATCAATTATTTCCTCACTATCCATGACCAAGAACATCCTTAAACCACACAATCTGCGCTGGAGAAACACTCCATTAGGAAGGTGAGGAAAGGACATTAGGAACCTGCTTTTCTCATTCCGGGCAAAGAAAGGTGGAAAAAAACAGAAACGCTGCCTTGTGTTTTTTTATTAAGCCACATTCTAAAACACAGATCATCAAAAATATGTTTACTCCTACCACAGATTCATACGGTGACTGCATATTGTACAATAGCGCTGTTTAGGTATTTACTAGAAAGCCAAGCTCTCTTCTGCATAGCTTGATGTCTCTCCGAGTTTATCCGTCAGTGTGTTTTTGAAAATCAATGGTGATATTTCCAGAGAGGCAGACATGATAATGAAAGAGAGAGGCGAGAAAATGCAACCCTCAGAGGTGATTGCTCATTCCGAGCGGCTTCAAACATCCCTGCGTTAGAAGGACACCTTAAATATTCTGACTTTTCACGTCACTCCAGACTAAATCCCTAGCAACCACCATAGCAACACACTTCCACTTGGACGTGAAATGCATTGTAAGTTCCCCCCTGCCACCAGAGATGGAAGAGGGGAGGGAGGGTGAGTGCAGGAGGACAGACAGAGAAAAACAGCATCACGGAATGAAAGCATGAGAGGCGAAAGGAGAAAAACAAGTCAGGTAGACTTCATTCATATCAATAGCACAAACAAACCAGTCACATAAGCAAACGCGCCAATGGGTGAGGTTGAATGAAACACTGAAGAGGCAAAAATCAGCTGTTTTGTTTTTCATCCGCAATGTTTATCTATTTCTGTATGCGAGGGATGTAATGTGTCCTGATATATATATATATATATAGGCCTGCATTTAATAATTATGCATTTGAATTGTACATAAAATTTCCTTCCAACCAATAAACTTAAAGGGGTCCTATTATGCTCTTTTACAAAGTCTTGATTTTGTTTTGGGGATGTACTAGAACATGGTCTCATGCTTGGTGGTTCGAAAAACGCATTATTTTTCACATAATTTACATTATTAAAATACCTTTCTCCCCATCCTGGCACAAACGGCTCGATTAGTTCCGGCTTTGATGAAGGTCCGCCTTCCGAAAAACAAAATGTGTTGTGATTGGTTAGCTGTCCCAATGCGTTGTGATTGGCGAACAGCTTAGACAGTGTTTCAGTACTGCC